ACACACACACACACACACACACACACACACACACGATGCTCTTGCGCGCCCACAGTACAGAAGGTGGTTCCTAGCAAGGACTAACCTGGTGCAGTGTCCACAGAGCTGAGGTCAAAATGACCACAGTTCAGTGTTAACCAGGCTGGCTACAGCACCTCTACTGCTAGAGCTCTAAGTTCTTTTCCATAGAAGGTACACTGGGGAAGAACATTCACCAAGGTTCCAGAGAAAGAAGAACATAACCAATATTGTCTCCTTTTGTGTCTCCAAAAGTCATTTTTGTTCTCTTTTCTGCTGTTTTACTCAATTATTAGCTGTATTAAAGCACCCAAACATTACAAGTTCCTTTCTTTCTCTCTTGCCTAAAGCTAGTCAGTGTCCAAACACAGGCAGTGGATTCTTTTTTTTGCAGAAGACCTGGAGGCAGTATGGTGACAGGTAGCTCCTTTTAAGCCTGGTACATATAAAAAAAATAAGCTATTGAGCACTAGTGGTGCACACCTGTAATCCTAGCTACTCAGGAGGCTGAGATCTCAGGACTGAGGTTCGAAGCCAGCCCAGAAAGGCCAATCTATGAGATGCTTATCACCAATTAACCAGCAACTAGCTAACACTAGAGGTGTAGCTCAAGTGGTAAAGTACTAACTCTGAATAAAAAAAGTGGAACAAGAGAAGCACTGAGTTCAAGCCCCAGGATCAGTGCGTGCTCATGCGCCATGCACACGCGCACACACACACGCACACACACACACATCCTCAAAAACAAACATCATCCCCTCACATGTTCATGCTTCAGCACTTCCCAGAAATCACAAAACCCATTTTGTCCTGGCTAGAAATGGAAAAGAGAACAGACTTTTAGTTGTGTGTCTCCCTTTCTGATTGCTTGGTAACCTCCTTTCTCCAAACTATCCTTGCTAAGATCCTTTCTTCTGCCTTTTAATGCCTTCCTTCAGGTTTACAAGCTGCATCACAGCCTGCACCAGCCACTTACTGAGTGTGTTCATGAGCTGCGTGCTTCCCTGGGGCCGGCTAGTCCCATTGGCGATGGCGGGCCTGCTGTTGTAGGGCTGCTGGTGTGAAGGCTGTGGAGAGGCTGGGCCATTGTCCTCACCGCCGCTGCTGGAGCTGTCGTCGTCACTTCCAGAGGAGCTCTCAGAGTCCGATGAGCTGCTCCCACTGCTGCTGCTCATCTGCTCAATGATGTCCACTTCGGCCCTCAGCTCTAAAAAAAAGGAAGTCAGGTCACAATCACCAACGCTTTCAAGGCAGATCACTGAGTGGCTGTTAAGTGATAGAATAATATGCCTCTTCTTAACCATTTTTTTTTGCGGGGGGGAGGAGGCGGGTCCTGGGGCTTAAACTCTGGGCCTGGGTGCTGTCCCTGAGCTTCTTTTGCTCAAGGCAAGTGCTCTACCACTTAAGCCACAGCGGCTTTTTTTGAGTAGTTTATTGGAGATAAGAGTCTCATGGACTTTCCTGTCCAAGTTGGCTCCAAACCAGGATCCTTGATCTCAGCCTCCTGAGTAGTGAAAATTAACAGGCCACTAGTGCCTGGCTTCCTGACTTTTATATACTGACCGATGGCCATGTCTGCCAGCATCTCCACTTTCCACTGATGAAAAGCAAGGAAGAAAGTGCAAGAATGACCACACATTTTTCCTTCCCCAATATCCCATGTGGTTCCTTTAGGCATGACTAGCAAGAAGTAACCACTTCTGATCTAACCCCTACTAAGCTCCAGTGGGGACTTCCACAAGAACATTCTAGAACCCTCCGGGGGGGGGGGGGAGAGAAAAATCAAGCAGTGTAGTAACAATGCATGGAGTGCAGTGACCGTATTTGTCAGAAGAGAGCATTTCTACAGGAAAGAAAAGCAGGCTTCCCAAGAATAATTATTTATCTTTCCTTTCCTTTTTCTACTATAGGTTTCATAAAATTTATAAATATGGATAGGGCACTTAGCCTCATAACTTCTAAGAATCTGGAAGACCAAAATCATCCATTATATAAGGAGAAAGCCAACGTAAATATGTCTTAAGTTTGCGGTGAAGAGAAGTCTTCTAGGCCTGAATCCATATCCATAGCCTCTTTCATATTTATACACTTGGTGTCTAAACACTTTGAAAATTTATTCAATTTTAGATCTATTTTTCAGATAGAGTCTCATGTTTTCGCTTGAGCCAATGTGAATCACAGTCTCTTATTTATGCTTCCTGTATAGCTGGGGTGACAGGCGGGTTGCTGCTGTGCCCAGAAAATAGTTGTGATAATTTCATGAGCTTTTCCCCCCAGGCTGGTCTCAAACTATGATCTTTCTGCTCTCAACTTTCCAAGTAGCTGAGATATCAGAAGTGGGCCACCATGCCCAGCTATTTGGGATCTCACTATATAGCCCAAGCTGACCTCAAACTCATTACCTCCTACATCTGCCTCCTAAGTGCTGGGATGACAGGCATGCCAGATCCACTTTTCCCAGCGTGGTTAGGATAGTTTTAGTGCCACTCTAATTGTATCAGCAGAGAACTCAGAAACACCACAACATGTGTTTTTCACCCCCAAATTCTTAGACTTTTTTTTTTCAGTCAGACTTACAGGCATGTCCTCTGGCACTTCAGCTGGCAGTCCTGCTTATTCAACCCCAAGCTTCTAAGAATGTTGCCAAGGCAGTCACAAAGCAAGTCACAATTCCTGAACCCACTCTTGTCATATGAGACAGGGGGAGGAGGCCCCTGCCCTCATCAGCTCTGGAGCAGTGCAAGTCAATGCAGTCATGTCCATAGAACACCCTACTGCCCGCTAATTACATGGCTCTACCTCTTTTGATGTCATCCAGCTGAGGTTCAGGTGAAGGGTTATCCTTTACGGGAGAAGTTTTGGGTCCAACTGGAGGCTTTGTTGGAGCTCTGAATGGCATGGGTGGTGGAGGTGGTGGTGGCTGAGGGGGGCGAGTGGGCTGCTGTTCCATTCGGGCCTGAATTTTACTGCTGCCCTCCGCTCTGAAATGAAACAGTCATTAGGTCAGACAGGTTCAAACAGTGGTTTTGTTAGGTGACTGTGCCCCTAGAAGTCTCGGCAAACTCCAGGCTCTTTCCAGAAACTGCTAAACACTGATATCTGTAATTTTAATATGAGAATCCACTTAATGACTGCATGTTGACAGCATTCCAGTACTGTACTATGCATCCTGGATATAGAGATGAAAATACAGTAGACTCACTGACCCTCAAGGAGCTCACACTTTCTGCTCCTGACAGTCTCTATGTACTCCAGGTTGGCCTTGAACTCAAGATCTTCCTCCCTCAGCCTCTGTACTGCTGAGATTAGAGGTGCACTACCACATCTAGCAGTAATTCATACTTTACAGCAAAGAGATAAAATAGATAAGGTATAGTACAGTTATAAGAACCTGTTACTATAAAATAAGATTTGATTTATATGCAATATAAAGTTACAATAATGAATGCATCAATTCTGGAACAAATTAGCCCTTGTAAATTACTGTTTAGTTTGTTTTGTTTTGTTTTTGTCAGTCGTGGGGCTTGAACTCTGGGCCTGGGCACTGTCCCTCAGCTCTTCAGCTCAAGGCGAGTGTTCTACCACTTGAGCTACAGTGCCACTTCCGGTTTTCTGGTGCTTTATTGGAGATAGGAGTCTCATGGGCTTTCCTGCCCAGGCTGGTTTTGAACCGCAATCCTCAGATCTCAGCCTCCTGAGTAGCTAGGATGATAGGCGTGAGCCACCAGCGCCCGGCTACTGTTTAGTTTTATATTATCTATTTACTGCTTGTTTGCTATGTTAGAGTTCTTTTCCAAACTGATAAAACTATATAATGATTTTTACAAATGGACAAGTCCAGTGATTCCTAAACTTTAGCACATGAACAAGCACCTGGAGCTCTCTTGTAGCTTCTGACCTGGTGGGTCCTGAGATTCTGCATCCCAGTGCATGGGGATGTGCTGACAGTCCCCAGGCCATACTCAGTAGACAGGGAGCAGATCATTATATCAGGTACTGGGGACTGAACTCAGGGCCTTGCGCTTACTTGCTCAGCTGGCATTCTACCACCTGAGCCATGCGTCCATACCTACTTTTATTGGGTATTTTGGAGATGGAGTTTCATAGTCTTTTCCGCCTGAGCTGGCCTTGAAATACAATCCTCCAAATTTCATTCTCCTTAACAGCATGGATTACAGGTGTGAGCCAGTAAAGCCCAACTATAAATATAAAGCTTAATCCTTACAGGGCATTACAGAAACAATAATGGGATTAATAAAAATTAGCTTAATCCCAGACTAGTATATCCAGCAAAGCTAGCATTCACATTTGATGGAGAAACTAAAATTTTTAATAGTAAAGAATAAACCAGCAGTACAAAGAATCTTAAAAGGGGATTACAATCTGAAGAAAACAATCAAGAATAGGGATCCATACCAGATATATATCACTAGGAGACCAACTTAGTAAACACAGGAAGAAAGGAAAGAAGAAAAACTTAGGAAAGCAGGAAAATGACAGAAAACACAATGCACCTCTCTATAATAACCATAAATACTACTGGCTCAATTCACCAATCAAAAGAAAAAGAACTGCAGATTGGATAAGAAAACAAGATCCATCAACTTGTTGTCTTCAAGAGACCCATCTCACAGCTAAAGACAAAAACTCTGAATGAAAGGATGGAGGAAGATCTACCATGCAGATGCTCCCAGCAAGAAGGCAGGATTTGCCATCTGATAGCTAATAAACTTAACATTAAAATTATTACAAAATGACAAAGAAGGTCACTACATATTAATACAGGGAACAATCCAAGAAGAGGATATCACCATTGTCAATCTATACTTTTCAAACATCGGTGCACCAAAATATGTTAAGCAAATACTCTCAGACTTACAGAAAAAGATAGATACAAAAAACAGAATTCATCCCGTCCTGGGCTTTTCCTTGGAAGACTTCTGATTGCTTCCTCTATCTCATTATAAGTTATTGGCTTATTTAATTGACTTATTTCTGCTAGGTTTTTCCTTCCTTAGTGAGATTAGAGTCTGGAAATAGTTTTTTATAATTGTTTGCATATCTTGGGTATTTGTTGTAATTTTTCCCATGGCATCCCTGAGCTTAGTGATTTGGGTATACTCTCTTCTTTTTTTAGTCTTGCCAGAGTTTTGTCAATTTTATTAATTTTTTCCAAAAAAAACCCCAGCTTTTTGTTTTATTAATTTTATTTATGGTTTTCTTAGTCTCATCTCAATAATTTCAGCTCTTATTTTGGTTATCTCATCTAGTAACTTTAGGTTCATCTTTTTCTTGTTTCTCTAGCAGTTTTAGTTGTATCAGGAGATTATTTACTTGGTCTATCTCTGTTTTCTTGGTATGTGCACTGAGAGCAATAGATTTGCCCCTCAGGACTGCTTTTGCCATATCCCTTAGCTTTCTTTGTGATGTATATTCATTTTCATTGAATTGTAGGAACTTTTTAAACTCTTTTTAAATTTATTCTGTGACCCAGATCTTGCTTAGAAGTATGCTGTTTAATTTCCATGTGCTTGAGTAATTTCTACTATATGCTTTGTCATTGAGAACGAACTTGATTCCACTATGGTCAGATTAAATACAGGGGATTATGTTGATCCTCTTGTATTTGACACAGAAAAGGCTTTCGATAAAATACAACATTCATTCATGTTAAAAGCTCTGGAGAAAATAGGAATAGAAGGAACATTCCTTAAAGCAATAAAAGCCTTATATGACAGACCAATAGCCAATATTATAGTTAACAGGGAAAAACTACAACCAGTTCCCCTAAAAACAGGAACAAGGCAAGGATACCTACTCTCGCCACTCCTCTTCAATATAGTTCTGGAATTCTTAGCCAGAACAATAAGGCAAGAAAAAGACATTAAAGGGATCCATATAGGGGAGGAAGAAGTTAAACTTGCTTTTTGAAGATGACATGATTTTATATCCTAACAATCCCAAAAGCTCCACCCCCAAACTCTTAGAGTTTATAAACCACTTCGGCAAAGTAGCAGGATACAAAATTAACCCACAAAAAGCAGTCACCAGCAATATGCCAGCAGAAAGGGAAATCAAGGAAATAATCCCATTCACAATAATCTCAAAAATATTTAAAATACCTAGGAATTAACCTTATCAAAGATGTAAAGTATCTCTTTTTTTAAAAAAAGAAATCATACAGCACACCAGAAAATGGAAAGGCCTTCCATGTTCTTGGATAGGCAGAATTAATATAGTGAAAATGGCCATACTGCCAAAATTGATATATAAATTCAGTGCAATTCTAGACAAAAGAAAATGCAAGAGGGATCATGATACCAGATTTCAAGCTCTACTATAGAGCCATAATAACAAAGACATCTTAGTATTGGCACAATAAGAGACCCAAAGACCAATGAAACAGATTAGAAGACCCAGAAATGAAACCATACACTTACAATCAGTTGATATTTGACAAAGGAGCCAAAGACATACAGTGGAAGCACAGCCTCTTCAACTACTGGTGCTGGGAAAAATGGGCAGCCACATGAAGAAAAGTAAAAGCGGACCCAGCCTGTCACCATGCACTAACATCGACTCAAAATGGATTAAAGACTTTAACATCGGGCTGGGAAGGTGGCTCAGTGGTAGAGTGCTTGCCTTGCATGCCTGAGGCCCTGGGTTCGATTCCTCAGCGCCACATAAGCAAAAAGAAAAAAAAGCCAGAAGTGGCGCTGTGGCTCAAGTGGTAGAGCGCTAGCCTTGAGCTCAAGAGCTGAGGGACAGCGCCCAGGCCCAGAGTTCAGGCCCCATGACCGGCCTCCCCCCCCTACCCCTCCCTCAAAAAAAACTTTAACATCAAACCTGAATCTCTGAAACTACTGCAGGACAGAGTAGGAGTGACACTTGAACTTATATGCACAGGCAGGAACTTCCTGAACAGAGTCCCAGGGTCACAACAAATTGGAGAAAGACTCGATAAATAGGACTACCTTAAGATAAAAAGGTTTAAAATAAAATAGCTTCTGCACAGCTAAAGAAATAGCAACCAAACTAGAAAGACAACCAACTAATTGGGAAAAAATATTTATCAGCAATATATCAGACAAGGGCCTAATACCCATTATATAGGGAACTCAAGAAACTAACCCCTCCCAAATCTAACAAACCAATCGTTAAATGGGCAAGGGAGCTAAAGAGAGACTTCTCAGAAGAAGAGATAAAAATAGTAAAGAAACACATGAGGAAATGTTCATCATCCCTGGCTGTAAAGAAAATGTAAATAAAAACAACTCTGAAGATACCACCTTACCCCACATCCTAAATTCAGCCATTGACAAATGCTGGAGGGGATGCGGAGAAAGGAACCCTAGTGCATTGCTGGTGGGAATGTACACTAATGCAACCACTTTGGAAAGCAGTCTGGAGGTACCTCAGAAAACTAAATATAGACCTCCCCTATGACCCAGCCATACCACTCCTAGGCATCTACCCTGAGCAATGGGAACCAGGATACAAGGACACATGCACCTCCATGTTCATTGAAGCACTGTTCACAATAGCAAAGATATGGAAACAACCCAGATGCCCCACTACAGATGAGTGGATCCAAAAATTGTGGTTCCTATATACAATGGAATATGATGTAGCCATTAGGAAGGAAAAAATAATGGCATTTTCAGGGAAATGGAAGGAACTAGAGCAAATCATTTTGAGCGAGGTAAGCCAAGAGCAAAGAGATAAAAACGGCACATGATCCCCCTGATATGTGGATGCTAAAGCCAAAATGTAAGGAGATATGACAAAGTAAACGGGACTCAAGAAACAAAGGACTTCTACTCGCTTTGTCCTATCACTGCTAAATGACTCCATGTTCTTGACCACATATATGATATATATATATATATATATATATATATATATATATGCACACATCTGAGGGAAGCTAGGAGGAGGATACAGAATCAGAGGGAAACAAGAAAACATAAAACAGAAGGGT